TTCGATAAAATTATCAGACCCCTCTTCAAAAATAAGACCAAGCCTAAACGTCCAAAGTCGAGCGTGGAGCCTGAAGCCAGTATTGGGAATGAAGAGTACAATATTTTAGATGAATGGACAGATCCGAATATCTTGGTGGATAGACTGAGATATTTAATGGAATCAGATAAGAACAACAACGAGATTGCCTTTATTCTTACTGAACTTGAAAATGTTGGTATAATATCTAAAGAATAAATGATGTCAAAATTATCCGTTTTTAATTCAATACCTGGTAGGCGAGTAGACTCACAATGACTACTCAAGTTGGCATACAAAAATACATATTTAAAAACCCTGTATAATGACTGGTAGGTAGTGTGATGAAATCATAAACTTCTTTATATCTATTATGGATATCTGAACATTATTGCGCCATTGATGTTACCATAATTTATACATTCACATTTTTTGAATAATTTTTCTGATATAAAATCGGAGCAAAAAGCTGAAAATTGATTATGCTTCTTGATGTGCAGCATTAGTTTGGATGCAAATACACTTCTTGGATGCTCCATCATGGTATAGATAAAATTAAGAGTTTTATGTCTAGTATGTTCGCCTAATGGGTCAAAGTTCATATGAGACATTGACGCAAAAGATGTAGGAAACCGATCAACATAAAGTATATAACACGATATATCCTGATCTTCGTACCACTGATTCATCAAGACATATCTGTCATAACGTTATCATCTTTCACATTCAACTGCCCAATTTTCTTCACAGCTCTATAATCTTGAAAGAATAGTATTTTCTCCATTGCAAGGACGATGTTGACTTGCTGACTGTCTTTGGTCGACTATGATAATCAATCTAAGAGTCACAAAAATGAAAAACGAGGTAGCGACATTTCTTGTTGACCCGCACTGTATAGCAGAAATATTTTTCAGTGTGAGATATTGAATATTAGGTCTAGGACTGAAAACAGCTCTTGTTCCAGCTTCAACAGCTGTTTTTTGTGTGATTTCGATAGTTCCTTGTATCTCATATGGAACGATAAGAGAATCAATAATAATAGGATTATTTCCTTTATTGTCCGTTATTTGTAGTCTATAACTCAGCTGATTTAATCATCATTCTAGGCTTTGAACGAATATGATTTTCTGTATACGCTAAATATAGAACAACCAAGCAGATAACGGCATCCTGTTCCAACGCTCCAACTTGAACAGCTGTTTGATTTCGGTAGTTTGTTGATTTCATGAAAAAACGATAAGAGAACCCGTGTATGTCCTTTATACTCACTCGTTAATTGTTGTCTATAGCTCATCTGTTGTAAGAGTATCAGATTTTGAAATATTCGGCGGATTCAGTGGCAGATAAAATGCATAATAATGCTTGAATATAATATGCACACATGAAGACTATTTTTCATATAAGCCTCTCAATGTATAGGGTGGACTGAGTTTTACAAAAGAACCATATTATGTGATGCATGAAAGAAATGCTCAATAGATCATATTATCAACTACTGGAATTTTATAAAAATAACTATCTAGTAACCGTCCACCGACTTTTCACTTTGAAATTTCAGTAACCATCAGATCTTAATGCAAATTAAGACTATTTATGACACATACAAAGTCAATATGAATTCATAAATTTAAAAAGAATAATTTTCACTCGCCTTTGAAATATCCTTTGCCTATGTTTGATACACTATGTTAAAGATAGTCACGCACATCACTAAATTGGCGCGCTATTATAATCTCGATAGTACACTGCTCAATCGAAAAATGTCTAGAATGGCGTGGAAACATTGGTGCTACAGATTTCTCTTCATTTGGAGGTAATATGTTATTTCCAGGCAAACTTGAGAAAACTATGTTCCTATTTCAATAGAGTGATCCTTCATCAGGCTATTACTTCAAGGAATGATCTTTGATTTTTGTTTTCGCGATAGAGGGTCTTGAAGTTGATCAGTTGGTTTTATTACTGGTTGAAATCGAGAATGATTCATCTTATAGACATCGTTAGGGTGGGAGTTTGAATTTTAGGTTTTTCATTAGTTATTCCTTGAAAGACACTTACCTACCTGAAATGTACGTTGGTCAATCGTTAGCAAATTATACCAATCGGCAACCTGCAGGGCTGCTAAAATGTAGCTTGATACAGCGACACTGAAATAATTTGTAAATAAAAGTGATATTCGTAGAACAAAACTTAGACCTAGAAGGTAAAAACCCGAAGGATACGGGATGGAATTTATCGTGCAGAGTGAATGGAAGCACTCAAGTATGCTGCATAAGTTAAATCATACGAGCATTCTGTGTGAGTTATATACTACGCGTTTTCTATGACTACAGCAAAACTCTTCAGTTTGCTGATTTTCTCACAATTAATAGTCTGTCATTTCATGAAATTCGATATTGGAACATGGTGTATGTTTATGTGGCAATTTTTGTAGAAAAATCGATTTATATCATACTTAACTAGAATACATTGGGCTGATAATTGAATAGGGTGTTCTCCTAGGAAAAAACACCTCAAATTCAAAATGTGACCTATAGCGACATCTTAACTCGAGCATAGGTCACTCTGTATATTTTAATTTTTGTGTAGATAGGGATGATACAATATTCTAGAGATTGCTATACTTTACGATAGCGTTTTCTATTATTTATGCATATAGTATCCATACAGGTTCTTTGCAATTTCAATAAACATTTATCGCTGAAGGTAGGAGATTGAAAAATTAATAAATATATATAAAATGTGCCAGTTTTGCTCGTTTGCGGTATTTGGCGACTTTAGATGATGAACTATCGCTATTTTTCCTGGTTTTACAATATTATTTATAAAACATATCTAACCACCAGTTTCATCTTCATGTTTTTTTCATATGGTTTTGCAAAAACATATCTAACCACCAATTTCGTCTTCAAGTTAATTAATAGGCGGATGGATGCTGCAAATAGTCATTAGCTGTCTAGAAGAGAACTCTAAATGGGTAAGTACATATTTTTGCATGTGGCTCAGAATAATTGTTTTTTTCGCCAAATGATATTAAAAGTGGCTTCTCAATGATAATTAAAAAGAGTTTCTTGCTTTAAGTGATATTTTGAATGAAATTGGTTCTTCAACTTTGTTAAAAACTTTGCGGAAAACTAATTTGGGTAAATTACCTGAGTAGAAAAGAAGATTGAGCTAGCTCGACTGCTAGCTGTAGTATCTTGCTCATTTTTCCACCTATAGGGATTATGAAAAATATGTTTGGCATTTTATGTTGTTCGTTTCTTAGTAGTATTCTAAAAATTTATATTATCCATGCTTGAAATATTTCGTCAGTCTTGATGAAGGTGAATAGTTCTTGAAGCTGCTGTAATAGCTGAAAGCGAACCGATCTGAGATTGTTTTACAAAAATACTGAGACCCTATAGCTTTCAAAGTTGTTAAATACTATGTGAAACTAATCTCTGATTGTGAATGAAGTTTGAATTTGCACTTATATTCTGAATATATTCTTACTGACTTATATTCTGAATGTAATACATACCTCAACTTTCTGTCGCATACGCTAAGGAATCTCAAATTGATTAGGATGCAATAAATCGAAGTAATTTTAGGCGAAAAATCAAAGATTTCGAATTTTTTCATTCATTTTGATCCCTCTAAAATTCTGAATCCAGTACATTGGGAAACAGATCATTGAGTAGGTGATAGGATTTTTTAAAATGCTGAACTTCAACCCACAGTATCTCCAAACATCAATCATTTGGTAGTCATTTCAATTTTCATTACGTTACTAGAATGTGAGGATCGAGTTGATAGAACTGCTGAATATTTCATATCATTTAGCCTTTTTTGATAATAGCTTAACAAAATATGCATGTTATTTTCAGACCACATTGAAGGGGGAAATTTTGGCGATCGTAAGGAGCTGGCTGCCTCCTCACCTACGTGTGAGTATACTATCCATATGTAATATTTTTAATTCTGGAAGAATAATGGCATTACATCGAAATTTTAGGAATTAGAAATGTTCAGCTCTGACGTAGAATCATGTTTCAATATTGATCTCCTGACTAAATTTAAGTCTAATGTGTATGCGTTTACAAAAATGTTATTGTTGGATTAGTCTTCCACGAGTGGCGTCGGGTCTGTGTGAAGTAGGTGAATTCATCACGTTTACAGAAATGTTATAGTCTGATTATCCTTCCACTAGTAGATGTGAGATCCGGACGTTTTCATTTTTCACCCTGTGGTGTTTCAGTTATTTTTTTTTTGGTTCATACATATCATCTGTTGATTTTTCCTTATTTTTTGTTCGTTTTTCGATAATTATGATGAAAATATTCGTTGTATTATGTTGATGTGCTGAATATTTATACATATTTCAAAAACACCTTGTATTTTCTTCAGGGGACCAGGAAAAATGTATTGCTGCAAAGAGATATTTGTGTATAGTACGTAGGGATTATTTGTTCCATATGATGATATGATATTGCATAGTTTCCTAACGTGTTACGTATACAATATTTTTCTAATTTCAATGAAAAATCCGCTTGAAGTGGAATAATAACTAATTCTGTGTGCTAATTATGCTTGAAATGTAGTTGGCAAGTTGACTTCGCCCGTCAAACAATAATTCTAAATAAATCAAATTCATGAAATAGATTTGTTTTGAAACTATCACTAGTGGAAATGTATGATTCAAGTTCAGATTTCGAGAAAACGGCAACACATACATTCATTTTTTTTCATCCATCCATATTTTTATTACTTAACGGGTGTTGAAATATCTAGTTATATATAATATTTCGCTTTATGTAACTAGTTATGTGAAGTCAAAATTAGAAAAAATTACTAATTTGCGCGCTGCGATAATATAAAATTAATAAAGTTTTTCTTTCCAGAACAAGCCGATTGCAATTATGTTTGGGCCTGGGAGCAGTGGGGTGGTGCCCCCTGAGATGGTGTGTATAGGCTCCGCGGGCCCATATCGTATATGGGCTTACATGACGCAGACGGGGACGGTGGTGTGGGCCATTTATTAAATAAAATTTAAAAAATATTTATGTCTCTTTTCCTTCCCTCTCAAATTTAGCTAGATGTTAGTTTGATCACAGAAACATATGCTGAAGCCAGAATCATTGCAAGTGAAAAATTCATTCGTGAGTAACCCTAGTTCTCACATTATGAATCAATGGAGTAGTATGGATCAGTCAAAATTTTCTAAAAAATATAAAATACTCAACTTACCGGTGCTTCTACACTAATACACTTCTTTTTTTCAGTCTGCTGTACAAAATTCTCTTTTTATATGTTAGTCGTTTCCTGTTTTTTCATAAATCCAACCACTTCTTAGCCTCAAATCAGCCTTCAGAAATGTGTTTTTCCCAAACGTCATTGAAAAATAAAGCCAGTAGAGTTTTTCCATATTTTATGTTCGATAACAAATTTGTGTTTTTCTTGAAACCTATAATCATGAAACAGGAAGCTCTTATCATAATGGTAATTCAACTTTATTTTCAGTCTTGAATGTCGACGCGTATGTGAGGTTCCTCTATCGCGCTGTTTTTCAAAAAATCAGCTGTATGAATTTGTGCAGTGGTGTTCGCTTTCCAAAGAATCGTGTATGAAAATAGGGTGAAGCGATTTTTGTTTTATTTAAATTGTTTTTTCACTATTCCCATTCATTATTCGGATTCTCATCAAGGCTATATGAAAAAGAAAGGTAAAAGTGCTTCTCTAAATGCTTTATATTTTTCCCTATATAGATACCAAGTCATGTAGAACACGTCTTCTATATAGATGCATCAAGTAATCAAAAAGTTGTGTATGAAATCTCGCATCGCGAGTTTTGGCTGAAAGGCCCACAGACTTGAGATACCAATCATTTGCTATGAAATAAATGTGAGTACCCTGCTGATAGAGTGCTAGAGTAGTAGATATGCTATAGGGCTATGAGGACAAGATCCCATGTATTTCCTTATGAAGGTTCATTCTGGTCAAAACTGAACATTTCTAGGGCAGGTGGGCAATCTTGGCGGCTGACGGTACGACGGGTGATATGAGTGGGCGGGGCAATATATCGATCTCACCGAGGATGTCTCCGAGAGGATGTTGGACATAATATATTGTGATACTTCGACTTGGGAGGGTATTCGGTGCTTCAACAGAACATGTCTTTCTGAACGATCGCGGCTATCTATCAAATAAGTATGAGAAGCGTAGTACACCATCGGATATTTTTTATTGATTTTAATCTCGAGGGTAGCTCATGTATCTATATATTCTCTTTTGGAGTTTGATAATGAAACAACAGATTCAAAATATCAGGCTATAGGTACTACATGAAGTATGCATGTAATAAATGTAATAAAGGAGGGACATATATAGTACTCCATCGGACATTTTTTATCGATTTTAGTATCAAGGGTAGCTCAAGTTTCTGTATATATTTTCTTCTGAAGTTTGGTAATGAATCGATGAAAACAGGATGGAGTATGCATGTGATGAAAACACCATATTTATATCATTAAATATATATTCATTCAGAAATGGAACAATGATAGCCTAACTAATACAGTTTGTGGATTTATACAACTCGCATATCTACAGATTATAATATGATCAAAGGATATCTATATACATACAATGCAATGAATATACACGAATTTTTGTAAGGAATACCTCACCTCACCTCATCTCAATTATGACATGTGGATGTAATATATAGGGAGTTATAAAAAGAATATTAGATTCCATTGCATGATATATCATTTATAAAATTAAAAACAATGTGAATGACTACAAATGAATATGTAAAATACAATATGAGTGTGCACAAACAGCGGTATGAATAGATGGCAATATCGGAAAATGTCTGATTTGAATAATGAAATATATTTACATATACTTGGTTCGATAAGATAACGAATTCGATAGTTGCAGTCAATTTGATGCAACTATACAATTTTGTTGATAATGATTATTCATTTTTTCATACAGGTGTCTGCGTCTTTCCAAAATATCCTGAAACTGATGATAGCATATACATGTCCGAAACCCTCAATGAGTGGAGATATATATCAATATTCAATATATTGATCATATGGATGGATGACTCTATGTTTACCCCATGCAATTATACGCTAATACACAAAAGTTACACTCCTATACCCACTCAATCTATGTAATGTATCATATTGTTCGGATACTCCACTTCAATTAACTTGTCCCACTCGCATCATTTTGTTGAATCACACTCATATAATATCATCTAGATAGGCAGTTATGGGGATAACTATTTTTACCATCATCAAAATGTAGCTGAACGTTATCCGCTTCTGATGTCCACAATGTGTGTTTCTACATATAGTACTCATAATGCGATATAGTGAATAGCTGTAGCTGATGTGTTCAGACGATTTTGGCGCTATTTTACACCGTTTATCATCTATAGACTTTCCATATACATATTATTTCAATAATGATATCAGCATTCAATTATATATTATGACATGCCCCATAATGAGAGCTGAATTAGAGCGGATATATAAAAAAACCTTGAAAAAATCTGCAGAAGCCTGGAGGCTACATCATAGCTGAAGTTATACCTAGTCAAATAACTACCTCAATGATGTTTGGTATATCCATATAATACGCTATTCATATATTTATTCAAAAGCCGCATTATAGTTGCCCGCATTTGCTTACTTATCAGATATTGAAAATGCTGTACTATGGATGATTGATATTTTATGGATGAGCATCTTGATGTTGCAATGATCTAACTCGAATAGCTAACAACTGTAAACTGATAATAATGATACCTTTCGTAATATTCTTAATAAAATTGGTAGGAGCACACCATCTGAAAGATTCACTCTGACAACGCTATTTTTACAAATTAATTCTCAGAGAAATCAATATTCCACCTTCTTTACACTGTATAAAATTCATTCGAGTGACGACATATGTGAATGTGAGTGAATCAACTGATTGAAATTTTTGAGTGAATTCTCAACTCAAACTACATATTTCATCAAGTTTTCCTATCAATGAGAACGTTAACAACAAATTTGATTGAATGGGCTCATGAATTACCAAAGAGGGTGATATTTCAACTCAATCGGGGCGTGGACCGAAATTGACTCATTATTGCGTGAAACTTGAGTGAAATTTCTCTCAATTTTTCTTCAGTGTATTAACCTTCGGATAATATCCAACAAATATAAAATACCGTGAAACAAAAACAACTATATTTATATGTATTTATATACACATACACGTATATATGGCCTCAGGCGGGTATCATCAAGCAGCTACAAACGCATGAACAAATCATTATAACATTCAGAGATACATATTCACATATATATCAGAATACTTGTGCTCTTCGGACTCTTCCGGGGTGTTGTAAATCATTACAGTGTACGAAACAACTGCATATTTTCATACGAATACACGTTTTTCACGCTTCAGTGTGATTTTCGGTGGTAACGTTTAGTGGCAGCGCTAGAGCACCTGATGTAGCTGTAAACCAATATCCTAATTTTCTAATTTCCGATTTTTCAACTCAAAATTAGCATAAACATGTGGTTTCGTTTCTAAAATATAATGCCCGATATATACGCTAAGTGAATTTTATTCAAGAAATGTCTGAAAGGAGATGTGTCAGGACGAATTACTCTGGTGAATTTGATGGATGGATTTTATCCTGAATCAAATCTCTGAACATAATGATTGAATTATGATCATGATAATGACGAGAAATGGTCCAAATTCTTGGAAATGATATCGCAAAACAATATAATCACTCTCACATACACATAATGAATACTTACGTAGGTAATACGTAATAATTTTTTGACTATTTTCGTAATATTTTTATATTAGTCGCAATAACCATCAGAAAAAAATCGTCTACAGATGAAATTATGACATATTCAATGGTGTCATATACCAATAGCTATTTTGAATGTTTTGATTGGTTTTAATTGAGATGATTATAGATGATTTCATAGTGAAGCATCGTGCTTTATTCACTGTGATAACCTTGAATGAATCGAATTTCTATGATTTTATTATGTATCATTGGGAAACGGAAATATGTCAACAGTGGATAGAGGCTAGCGAGGTGGCTCTGAATATGCCATACTTTTTTTAATTTCACAAGTTTTATAGCCGAGATATATAGGGTGTTTTTATCAATTCTGCTCATTTCTATGTAGGGTCATAACTAACCAACCATCTAATCTATCATATTTCCATGATATTCGGCATAAAATCTACCCCGCATTCACTACCAAAGCGACTACTCAAGAAAATATCCATCGGTTCCGGATCATCAAAAATAGGATGGAATGTAGTGTGGTATAGAATTCTCAGAATTCGCATCCAAATTCGAAAGGACCATGGAAAAATAATCAAACTAGTATTTTACATGAAGAAGTTGATGTGTTATAGTGGAACATGTCGTGTTCATAAGACAATTATGAAAATTCAATCGTTTGTGAAGTTTTCTATTGACATCAAAATACATAAGGTATGAATCTCGCAATGTTGGATCAAAAATCATGCATATATTTATTATTAGCATGACTATATCGTAGAAATCCCCTGAAATTGAGTGGAATATGAAAAGCGTGTAATAAATGGCAATCACATCAATGATTCATTACATTATAGTATTTGGCATAGGCATAGATATCTATGGCATAGGTTAGGTATGCTATATATATATATCATTCTACTCAAGAAAATTCCTCAAATAAATGTGAATTACACCAGATATCCATGCTTTTCAAGCGGAATGTAATCAATTAATATCAAAAATTATAATATTAGATATAGGTAGGTACCTATACCATCACATTCATGAACTAAGATCAACACAATCATTTCTGATATACCTACTGGGATACTATTCATCTGAATCCTGCGACAAAGCTCATACACTATCATAACATTCAAATATTTGCTGATGAGGAAGGGACAAACAAAGTATATGTATCAACTGTTCTGAAATGAAAATTATTCTAA